AACACAGTACAGAAGCGCTGATGATCACAAGGCGGAAGGGCCTTGGTGAAGATATCAGCATTGTTGGCCACAGAGGCCACGTAAGCAAGGCGCAGCTGACCACGCTGCTGCAGCTCACGAGACAGGAAGTAGCGGAGACCAATGTGCTTCGTTCTGTGCTCCAGTCTGTGCTCCCGACACAAGGCCAACATGGCCTTGTTGTCTACGTACAGAACTAGAGGAGAATGAGGCGGCTCTCCTAGGTCAGTCAGCAGGTAGGTGAGCCAGCGTAGCTCCTGTACAGCCATGGCCCATGCGTAGATCTCAGCCTCACGGCTGGAGCCGAGAACAGAGGACGAGCGGGTAGACCGCCATGAAATAGAGCCGGAGCCAAGGCTGAAGGTGTAACCCTGTGACGACTGCTGCGTAGCCTGGTCGTTTGCCCAAGAAGCGTCAGCGTGACCTGTGAGGACTACTCGACGTCGCCCTCCAAGCACTAGCCCCATGCCCGACGTACTGCACAAGTAGCGCAACACCCTCTTCGCTGCAGCCATGTGCTCTGGTCGGTGTCTCCCAGGAGCAACATAGCGTGCCAAGATGCTAAGAGGGTATGCAAGGTCAGGTCGTGTCCACGTCATCAGGTACATGAGGCAGCCAACAAGCTCTAGGTACGGGCCACTCGACTCTACGGACTCATTCGAAGGTAGAGCTGAGAGCGAGTGGCGAGTAGACAGAGGAGTGGCCTGAGGCGAGGAGTACATGAAGCCGAAGCGCTGAAGGACCTGCTGCACCATGTGTGACTGAGTCAGGGTAATGGTGCGCTGTGCAGTGTCCCGGGTGATCTGCAAGCCAAGGTAGCTGCGCAGTTCACCCAGGTCTGTGCACGTGTGTCTCTTCTGCAGCTCGGACTTCACGTGGGCGAGTCCAGCAGTGTCAGCAGTGGCAAAGACCAGGTCGTCGACGTACACGAGGATGTAGAACGGCGGCAAAGAGGTGTCGGTGCGTAGAAACAGCGACGGGTCGGCTGTAGAAGGAGCAAACCCAAGAGCCGCAAGTGTAGTCCTCAGTGCTTCGTGCCACTCACGGGGCGCCTGGCGGAGACCGTAGACTGGCCGTTGGAGGCTCCACTGGGTGCCAGGAGGAAACGACCCAGTGAAGCCAGGAGGGCGGCGCAGCCATATCTCCTCGTGCAGGCTACCTTGCAGGAAAGCAGTGCTGAAGTCAAGAGAGTGAAGCTCGCAGTCGCGCTGAGCGGCTATGTGCAGCAACACCCGAAGAGTGGTCATCTTCGGGGTGGGAGAGAAGGTCTGGAAGTAGTCAACTCCCTGCCGCTGACTGAAGCCTCGAGCCACGTAACGCGCCTTGAAGATAGGCGGAGAACCCGGAGGCCGCTTCACCCTGAAGATCTACATCCCACTGACGATGTTCGCTTCAGGTGGGGGAACCTCGTCGACATAGGTGCCTGTGGACTTCCAAGAAGCCATCTTTGCATCCATGGCCGACTGCCACTGAGAGGAGTAGGGACCCTCGATTGTCTCAGCGTACGATCGAGGAGTCGGGATGTCTGGTGCATCCGGGTCTCCCTCAGGGGCAATCAGCGTGGACACGAGATGGGGCAAAGCAGCCGCAAAGCACTGGAACCCCTCCTGCTTGTCCTCAAGGACGTCCGTGCTAAGAGCACACTCACCCCCGACGGACGGAGGACAGACAGACTCAGACTCAGCAACAAGATTGGCAGCATAGTCTAGACGACAGCGAGCAGCGAAGTCGACAAGCTCAGCAACAAGAGCAGATGCAGCAGCAGACTTAAAGGAAGGGTCAGTGACGACAGTAGCAAGAAGGCGCGTGACCGAAGGACTAGCAGCACGAAGGGAGTCAGACTCCGGGTCAGCAAGAGAAGGAAGAGAGGACTCTGGAGGAGACGGCAACGGGACACGCAGAGGAGCAGTGGAAGGACGCAGTGCCATCTGGTGTGTGCCGGGGACCGCAAGAGGACGCGGACGCGTAGTACGACCACTAGTGCGAGCAGGACGAACAGGTGACGCGGGACGAGACGCAGGCTCACGACGCTTTGCAAGACCTCTAGTAGGACCAGTGTAGGGAGAAGGAGCAGGTAGAGAGGAGGCGGGCGGTAACTGTGACTGCGATTGGGCAGGCGATGGACACTCTAGGGGAGGAGCAGTAGAGGGCGGGAGACCAAGAACCTGCTCCAGGAGCGGAACGAAGTACGGCCTCGGCCACGCAGCGCCTCTAGAACCAGCAAGTACGGCACCAGTACCCCCAGCGGCAGCACCAGCGCCAGCAGAACCTCCAGCTCCAACAGCGCCAACTCCAGTACCCTCAGAAGCACGAGCGCCAGCAGCACCGCCAGCGCCAACACCCCCAGCAGCTCCAGCTCCAGCAGCACCAACTCCAGTAGGACCGTCAGCACCAGCTGCCTCAGCAGCACCCCCAGACGCACCAGCACCTGTAGAAACACCATCCCCAACACCCCCAGTAGCTCCAGCTCCAGCAGCACCAACTCAAGTAAGACCGTCAGCACTAGCTGCCTCAGCAGCACCCCCAGACGCACCAGCACCAATAGAAACACCAGCGCCAACACCCCCAGACTCAGCAGCACGTCTCCAGCGGCGGGCGAACCACACGCGCAGCTCCTGTGGAGAGAGCGGCTCCCGCCTCGACGAAGTACCGCCGGCGGCCACACGAGCAGACCCAGCACCCCCAGGCTCCGCACCCCTAGACTCAGCACCCCCAGGCTCAGCACCTCCAGTCTCAGCACCCCCAGACTCAGCACCCCCAGACCCGGCACCCGCAGATCCGGCACCCGCAGGCTCAGCACCTCTAGCAGCACCAGAGTCTACAGCTACCTCGACAGGCTCGAATGCGTCTACCTGGGACACACCTGAAGGGGCAGGACCCTGAGGAGGGAGGGGGTCTACCGGGGGGGGACCTGGCACAAGGAAGAGCGGTGGCGGGGGGAGGGACGGAGTGCGGTAGGGGAAGAGGCGGTAGTAGGGGACCGACTCGTCAAACGTGACGTCCTGGGAGGACAGACACGGCGAGAGGTGGGGTGGTAGAACTGCCACCCTGGCGCGTCAGGGGGAAAGCGAAGGAAGACGCAAGGAGCAGCACGAGGGGACAGCTTGTTCGCAGACAAGTCGCGAACAAACGCCCGAGATCCCCAGACACGAACCTGAGTAGCACCTGGTGCAAGGAAGAGCGGCGGCGGGGGGAGGGGCGCAGTGCGGTAGGGGAAGAGAGTAAGGCACCGACTCGTCAAAGGTGACGTCCTGGGAGGACAGAACACGGCGCGTGGTGGGGTGGTAAAACTGCCAGCCAGGCACGTCAGGGGGGAAGCCAAGGAAGACGCAAGGAACAGCACGGGGGGACAGCTTGTCCGCAGACAAGTCGCGGACAAACGCCCGAGATCCCCAGACCCGAAACGCAGACGCATCGCCAACCTTCCCTGTCCACCGCAAGGCGGGGGAGGTCTCTGGCAAGGAGACACGGGGCTGAAGGTTGAGCTGATGCGCGGCGTACTGAACCACAAATGGCCACAGAAAATGGGGGGCAGCCGCATGAATCATGGACGTACGCGCGACATCCATGACCATGCCAATGCGGCGCTCAGCAATCCCATTTCGCTGTGGAGAGGCCGGAAGCGTGAAGGTCTGGCGGATGCCCTGTGCCCGACAGAAGGCTCCTAGACGGGCAGAGGAAAACTCCCCTCCTCTGTCCTACTGCAGACGCAAAACAGGAAAGTCCGAGCCGAAACTCTCTCTGAGCTGGAGACGAGCTGCGCGGATCCAGTCGATCAACACCTCAGTGACGTCACCCTTGCTGCGCAAGAGGGCCCCCAGAGGGGTCAGCCAAAGACACCGCAACCGGCCGATGAAGCGGCGTGAGTGTGGTGCGGTCCCGAAAGAAGGAGCGAGAAGCTCCAGAGTCAAGGGAGAAGGTGAGGGAGGCCGAAGCCGGCGCAGTTTCTGAGAGCGTAGACTCACCAGTACCTGAGGACTCAGACGCACTAGCACCTAGAGCAGCAGCGTCACAGGCACCTAGGGCAGCAGCCTCACCAGTACCTAGAGCAGCAGTCCCAATGCCCGGATCGGGCGGGAAACACCGGTAACAGTCACCCTCATCACTAATAGACACAGCATACATGGCAGAATCAAAATCAAAATCATAGATAGCAACTCCCGCCCTAGACAGCTCGCCCCAGCGAGGGATCTCTGTGGCCTCCGGGAACTGGCGACGCCACGCGTCCGTTAGGCGGCCAAAGCAGCGCAAGGTGGGTTGCGCACCCCCACACTGCTCACCCGCACGGTCGCCGGTGCGCAGGACGTAGGTGCCCGGACCAAAACCCCCACCCCGCTGGCGTGCAGTGTACCACTCACGGAGCTGCTGAGGGGACAGGGTCTAACGACCGCGCTGCTGCTGCTGGCGCTGGCCACCACCGGAACCACTCCTCTGCGTAGACCCGCGACCAGCTCCATCGCCACCCCCGCCGCCTCCGCCGCCTCCGCCGCCTCCGCTACCACTGCCGCCTCCGCCGCCGCCTCCACCGCCACCACCTCCGCCACCTCCGCTCCCACCACCACCGCCGCTGCCGCCTCCGCGTCCACTGCCGCCACCGACACCTCCTCCCCCACCTCCACTCCCACCGCCACCCCCACTCCCCCCGCTGCCTCCACCTCCACCGCTCCCGCTCGCTCCTCCAACGCCCTTGCCCCCTTTGCCCTTGCCAGAGCGGCGTCTCCCACTAGGGGCGGACGCCCCACCGACCGACTCAAGACCAAGGAGGTCGGCCGTAGCACCAGAGGCAACAGAGGGCAGAAGGGGGGAGGGGGAGCACCCCTCAAAGATGGGGGTGCGCGGGTCACCACGAGAGGCCCCTACAGCGACTATGCTCTTCTCGCTCGCTAGAAGGGACTTCTCGAGGAGGTCAATAGTGAGAGTGGTGGGACAGACTGAGAGGAAGTGGTCCCTGACTACGCGAAGGGAGTCAGGAAGGCGAGTGACTATGTACTGGGCGGCTGGGCGGCTTGGCTGCAGTGCGGCTCGGCGGCTGGGCGGCTCAGCTGCAGGGCGGCTCGGTTGCTGGGCGGCTCGGCTACAGGGCGGCTCGGGTGCTCGGCTGCTGAGCGGCTCGGCGGTGCTGCTGCAGGGCGGCGCGGCGGTCGGCTGCTCGGCTGGGTGGGACGGGTCGGGAAACCCGGGCGGCGGGCGGCGCTGCAGCAGGTGACGGGGCCGCAGGTGAGGGCGGCGGGGCCGCCAACGAGAGGGGCGGGGCCGCAGGTGAAAGCGGCTCGGCCGCAAGTGAGGGCGGCGGGGCTGCAGCAGAGGGCGGCGGGGCCGCAAAGAAGGGCGGCGGGGCCGCAGCAGTTGATGGCGGCGGGGCCGCAGTTGAGGGCGGCGGGGCCGCTGCAGTTGAGGGCGGCGGGGCCGCAGTTGAGGGCGGCGGGGCCGCAGCAGTTGAGGGCGGCGGGGCCGCAGTAGTTGAGGGCGGCGGGGCCGCAGGTGAAAGCGGCGGGGCCGCAGGTGAGAGCGGCGGGGCCGCAGCAGAGGGCGGCGGGGCCGCAGAGAAGGGCGGCGGGGCCGCAGTTGAGGGCGGCGGGGCCGCAGCAGTTGAAGGCGGCTGGGCCGCAGCAGTTGAGGGCGGCGGCATCGCAGATGAGGGCGGCGGGGCCGCAGTTGAGGGCGGTGGGCCGCAGGAGAAGGGCGGCGACGGGCCGCTTGTTAAAGGGCGGCGCGACGCGGCCGTTAGGGCTGCGCGACGTGGCCGTAAGGGCGGCGCGACGGGCCGCTAAGGGCGATGCGACAGGCCGCTAAGGGCGACGCGACGGGCCGCTAAGAAGGGCGCGACCCTAGGCGCGCTTCGGGCAGGGGCAGGACGCGCCCCGGGCAGGAAAAAAAAAGGGAGGATCGGTGGGCCCTAGGAACAGTTCCCACGAGGGAACCTGCTCGATACCATGAGAAAATGAGAACGAGAATGAATGAACTATGAGTGAAGTGGGTACAAGTACTAACCCTAATTGGGTTGTACCCCCTATGGGATACCCCACTACAGCCTACACAAAAGCATAAGCTATAATGTTCTGACCACCAGATGGCACTGCGTCCTTCCACTGCTCCTCTTCATGTCCCGTTGCCGTCTCCTCCAGAGTCCTCTCTTCCTGTCCTTGCTGACCCGGAGTCTGACTCTCTTCGTGCTGCCAGTCCTACTGTCACGCATCTCCTGGCTACTGTTGTCATTGACCCTTCCTTTGAGTCCACTGCTGCGTCTGCCTTAGTTGCTGAGCTTGTCGACTTTGCTGCTCGCTGTCGTCTAGACTACGCTGCTAGTCTTGTTGCTGAGTCTGAGTCTGTCTGCCCTCCGTCCGTCGGGGGTGAGTGTGCTCTTAGCACGGACGTCCTTGAGGACAGGCAGGAGGAGTTCCAGTATTTTGCTGCTGCTTTGCTTCATCTCGTGTCCACACTGATTGCCCCTGAGGGAGACTCGGATGCACCAGACATCCCGACTCCTCGATCGTACGCTGAGGCGATCGAGGGTCCCTACTCCTCACAGTGGCAGTCAGCCATGGACGCAGAGATGGCTTCCTGGAAGTCCACACGCACCTACGTGGACGAGGTTCCCCCACCTGGGGCGAACATCGTCAGTGGCATGTGGATTTTCAGGGTGAAGCGGCCGCCGGGTTCTCCGCCTGTCTTCAAGGCGCGTTACGTGGCTCGAGGCTTCAGTCACCGGCAGGGAGTTGACTACTTTCAGACCTTCTCTCCCACCCCGAAGATGACCACTCTTCGGGTGCTACTGCACATAGCCGCTCAGCGCGACTACAAGCTTCACTCTCTTGACTTCAGCAGAGCTTTCTTGAAGGGCAGCCTGCACGAGGAGATCTGGCTGCGCCGCCCACCTGGCTTCAGTGGGTCGTTTCCTCCTGGTACCCAGTGGAGCCTCCGGCGGCCAGTCTACAGTCTCCGCTAGGCGCCCCGTGAGTGGCACGACACACTGAGGACTACCTCTTGCGGCTCTTGGGTTTGCTCCTTCTACTGCCGACCCGTCGCTGTTCTGCGCACCGACACCTCTTTGCCGCCGTTCTACATCCTCGTGTACGTCGAACACTTGGTCTTTGCCACTGCTGACACTGCTGGACTCGCCCACGTGAAGTCCGAGCTGCAGAAGAGACACACGTGCACAGACCTGGGTGAACTGCGCAGCTACCTTGGCTTGCAGATCACCCGGGACAGAGCACAGCGCACCATTACCCTAACTCAGTCACACATGGTGCAGCAGGTCCTTCAGCGCTTCGACTTCACGTACTCCTCGCCTCAGGCCACTCCTCTGTCTACTCGCCACTCGCTCTCAGCTCTGCCTTCGGATGAGTCCGTAGAGCCGAGTGGCCCGTACCCAGAGCTTGTTGGATGCCTCATGTACCTGATGACCTGCACACGACCTGACCTTGCATACCCTCTTAGCATCTTGGCACGCTATGTTGCTCCTGGGAGACACCGACCAGAGCACATGGCTGCAGCGAAGAGGGTGTTGCGCTACTTGTGCAGTACGTCGGGCATGGGGCTAGTACTTGGAGGGCGACGTTCAGTGGTCCTCACAGGTCACGCAGACGCTTCTTGGGCTAACGACCAGGCTACGCAGCGGTCCTCATAGGGTTACACCTTCAGCCTTGGTTCCGGCTCTGTTTCGTGGCGGTCTACCCGCTCGTCTTTTGTTCTCGGCTCCAGCTGTGAGGCTGAGATCTACGCGGGGGCCATGGCTGCACGGGAGCTATGCTGGCTCACCTACCTGCTGATTGACCTAGGAGAGCCGCCTCGTTCTCCTCCAGTTCTGTACGTAGACAACAAGGCCATGCTGGCCTTGTGTCGGGAGCACAGACTGGAGCACAGAACGAAGTACATTGCTCTTTGCTACTTCCTTGCTCGTGAGCTGCACCAGCGTGGTCAGCTGCGCCTTGCTTACGTGGCCTCTGAGGCCAACACTGCTGATATCTTTACCAAGGCACTTCCGCCTTGTGATCATCAGCGCTTCTGTACGATGCTTCCGTCTTGTGCCTACTTGGCCTCACTTGCTCACTTCTTGACCTTGCTTGTACTGTGATCTTTCTATACCTGCACTTGCTTGTTTACCTTTATATATGATCTTGCATGTGAACTGGCCTTGTGGCCTTGACCTTGTGCTCGGAATGTGTGGTGACGTTGTGATCCACCCTGAGCTTGCTTTGCTTTGCTTGACTGGTCTTGTGAACTCTTTTCTCCCCCACTTTGCCTATGGGGGTGTGTCAAACTCATATGCTATAGTATGTGTAGGCTGTTGTGGGTTAGACAATATGGGGTACAACACTTTTAGGTTTTCCTACTTGTACCCACCTGATTGCTAGTTCATTCAATCCTCATTTCTTCACAACTACATAAAACTCCCGCCGAAATGATCATGAAATTGAGGAATTTATCGAGTTTGAAAGCCTTTACGCACAGTTTTATCTTTCTTGAACAAGTCCCGCCGCGGCTTTGAAGGACCCTGTTTAGTCTAATTCCACGGACCAAGAAGTTTCAAAGTTTATATACATGTTTATGGCTCGTACAAAAACGGTCGAGATCATATGTTAGATAGCATGATTGCAAACATGCAAAATGAGTAAAAAAACCTTTACGCGAAAGGGCCTTGGGGTTTGAAGTTTTGTAATTACTACAACGCTGTCCTTTTGTTTTCATGTGGGAAAGATACAGCTCTTTATAATTACATCGTTCATTTATTTTAACAGAACCATGTGAAAGAGAGAACGAGAATGGAATGACTATGAAAGAAGTGAGTACAAATAGGAAACCCTAATTGGGTTGTACCCCCTATGGGATACCCCACTATAGCCTACACAATAGTATAAGCTATATAGTTCTGACACACCCCCATAGGCAAAGTGGGGGAGAACAAGGGGTCACAAGACCAGTCAAGCAAAGCAAAGCAAAGCTCAGGGTGGATCACAAAGTCACCACACATTCCGAGCACAAGTTCAAGGCCACATGGCCAGTTCACATGCAAGATCATATATAGAGATATACAAGAGTCAAGTAAGCAAGAGCAAGAGTATATATAGGCGAAGGTACAAGCAAGGTCAAGAGGAGAGCAAGTGAGGCAAGACAGGCACAAGACCCAACTGCGTGCAACAACGCTGATGATCACAAGGCGCAAGTGCCTTGGTGAAGACATCAGCAGTGTTGGCCTCAGAGGCCACGTACGCAAGTCGCAACTGTCCACGCTGCTGTAGCTCACGAGCAAGAAAGTAGCGGAGAGCAATGTGCTTCGTTCTGTGCTCCAGTCTCTGCTCTCGACACAAGGCCAGCATGGCCTTGTTGTCTACGTACAGGACTGGAGGAGAACGAGGCTGCTCTCCAAGGTCGGTCAACAGGTAGGTGAGCCAGCGTAACTCCTGTGCAGCCAGAGCCCCGGCGTAGATCTCAGCCTCACAACTGGAGCCGAGAACAGAAGACGAGCGGGTAGCCCGCCACGAAACAGAGCCGGAACCAAGGCTGAAGGTGTAACCCTGTGACGACCGCTGCGTAGCCTGGTCGTCAGCCCAAGAAGCGTCCGCGTGCCCAGTGAGGACCACTGGACTGCGCCCTCCAAGCACTAGCCCCATGCCCGACGTACTGCACAAGTAGCGCAACACCCTCTTCGCTGCAGCCATGTGCTCTGGTCGGTGTCTCCCAGGAGCAACATAGCGTGCGAGAATGCTAAGAGGGTATGCAAGGTCAGGTCGTGTGCAGGTCATCAGGTACATGAGGCAGCCAACAAGCTCTGCATACGGGCCACTCGACTCTACGGACTCATCCGAAGGCAGAGCTGAGAGCGAGTGGCGAGTAGGCAGAGGAGTGGCCTGAGGCGAGGAGTACGTGAAGTCGAAGCGCTGAAGGACCTGCTGCACCATGTGTGACTGAGTCAGGGTAATGGTGCGGCGTGCTCTGTCCCGGGTGATCTGCAAGCCAAGATAGCTGCGCAGTTCACCCAGGTCAGTGCACGTGTGTCTCTTCTGCAGCTCGGACTTCACGTAGGCGAGTCCAGCAGTGTCAGCTGTGGCAAAGACCAAGTCGTCGACGTACACGAGGATGTAGAACGGCGGCAGAGAGGTGTCGGTGCGCAGAAACAGCGACGGGTCGGCAGTAGAAGGAGCAAACCCAAGTGCCGCGAGCGTAGTCCTCAGTGTGTCGTGCCACTCACGTGGCGCCTGGCGGAGACCGTAGACTGGACGCCGGAGACTCCACTGGGTACCAGGAGGGAAAGACCCAGTGAAGCCAGGTGGGCGACGCAGCCAGATCTCCTCGTGCAGGCTGCCCTGCAAGAAAGCTGTGCTGAAGTCGAGAGAGTGCAGCTCGTAGTCACGGTGAGCAGCAACGTGCAGCAGGACCCGAAGAGTGGTCATCTTCGGGGTGGGGGAGAAGGTCTGAAAGTAGTCAACCCCCTGCCGCTGACTGAAGCCACGAGCCACGTAACGCGCCTTGAAGACAGGCGGAGAACCCGGCGGCCGCTTCACCCTGAAAATCCACATGCCACTGACGATGTTCGCCCCAGGGGGGGGAACAGCGTCAACGTAGGTGCCTGTGGACTTCCAGGAAGCCATCTCTGCATCCATAGCTGCCTGCCACTGAGAGGAGTAGGGACCCTCTATCGCCTCCGCGTAAGAGCGCGGAGTCGGGATGTCTGGTGCATCCGGGTCTCCCTCAGGGGCTAGCAGTACAGACGCAAGACGAGGTGAAGCGGCGGCTAGACACTGGAACTCCTCCTGCCTGTCCTCAAGGACGTCCGTGCCAAGGGCACACTCACCCCCGACGGACGGAGGACAGGCGGACTCAGACTCAGTGACAAGACGGGCAGCGTAGTCTAGACGACAGCGCGCAGCAAAGTCGACAAGCTCAGTGACAAGGGCAGACGCAGCAGACGACTCGAAGGAAGGGTCAGTGACAGCTGTAGCAAGGAGACGCGTGACAGTAGGACTGGCAGCACGAAGAGAGTCCGACTCCGGGTCGGCAAGAGCAGGAAGAGAGGAAGCAGGAGGAGAAGGCAAAGGGGCACGCAGAGGAGCAGTGGACGGACGCAGTGACATCCGGTGCGTGCCAGGAACAGGAGGAGGACGCTGACGCGACCCGCGACCACTAGCGCGCTCAGTACGAACAGGCGACACAGGACGAGACGCAGGCTCACGACGCTCAGTAAGACCTCCAGTCGGACCAGTGTAGGGAGACGGAGCAGGCAAAGGGGAGGCAGGCTGTAGCTGTGGCTGTGACCGGACAGGCTGCGGACCCTCTAAGGGAGGAGGAGGAGGAGGCGGAAGACCAAGAACCTGCTGCAGGAGCGGAACGAAGTAAGGTCGGGGCCGCGCGGCGACACCAGAAACAGCAGGAACAGTACCAGCAGCCCCGGCAGGAGTACCCACTCCAGCAGCACCTCCAGCAGCACCACCAGAAGCTCCAGAACCTCCAGCAGCAGCACCAGGAGCACTGTCAGTCGGACCGCCAACGGCAGGCTCAGCGCCAACACCCTCAGTCGCACCAGCTCCAGGAGAACTCTCAGACCCAGCAGCTCCAGCACCCACAGTACGAGCACCGGCGGGACGCGAGGCAGCAGTACCCTCTGCAGCCGAAGAACCACCAGCACCAGCAGCACACCTCCAGCGCCTGGCAAACCACTCACGCAGCTCCTGCGGGGAGAGTGGCTCCCGGCGAGACGAAGCACCCCCAGGCACAGCACCCCCAGGCTCGGCACCTCCAGGCTCAGCACCCCCAGGCTCAGCACCCCCAGGCTCAGCACCCCCAGACTCCGCACCCCTAGGCTCAGCTCCCGCAGCAGCACCAGAGTCACCAGTGACCTCGAAAGGCTCGACCGCGTCTACCTGGGACACACCTGAAGGGGCAGGACCCTGAGGGGGGAGGGGGACTACCGGGGGGGGACCTGGTACCAGGAAGAGCGGGGGTGGGGGGAGGGACGGAGTGCGGTAGGGGAAGAGGCGGTAGTAGGGTACCGACTCGTCGAACGTGACGTCCTGGGAGGACAGAACACGTCGAGAGGTGGGGTGGTAAAACTGCCACCCAGGGGCGTCGGGGGGGAACCCCAGGAAGACGCAGGGAGAAGCACGAGGGGACAGCTTGTCCGCAGACAGGTCGCGAACAAACGCCCGAGATCCCCAGACCCGGAACGCCGACGCATCGCCAACCTTCCCCGTCCACAGCAGGGCTGGGGAGGTCTCCGGTCGAGAGACCCTGGGGTGGAGGTTGATCTGGTGCGCAGCGTACCTGACCGCAAACGGCCACAGAAAATGGGGAGCAGCCGCATGCATCATGGACGTACGAGCGACGTCCATGACCATGCCAATGCGGCGCTCAGCAATCCCATTCTGCTGTGGTGAGTCCGGAAGCGTGAAGGTCTGACGGATGCCTCGTGCACGACAGTAGGCACTCAGGAGGCCAGAGGAGAA